TAAATGGACGCAGCTTGAGACCATACGCATAAGCCAAATAAATCAAACGCACATGTATAAGTATCGAATAATTTCCCTAGTGTAAGAAATGGGTAAAATACATAAAAGTATGTGGTAATCATGATTCCCCATTATATCACTTTGAAGCCTTACAATGTTTTCATTCATTAGTTGGAATGGTTTGTTTGATTCTGGGTTGTCCGATTTTATTGTCTGTGATGGTATTAACAACTATTTTGACAAAAACAAGATATCATAATAGCTAGTGCTGATTTAATATCATCTTGTTTTGAAGTCCCACCAAGCTTTTGTTCTTGTCTCCATTGGTTTTATCATGTTGTATCTTATTGGATTTTATTACATGTGATAGTATAAACAAAATTTTTTATGGACAAGGAGATAATATAGTAACCATTGTTAGTTTTTTGTTAGTTGGTTCTGAATACCCTATAATACTTTCATTCTCTTGAATGGTTTTACACTGTCTTTTTATGTTTGATACTATAGTATATGAAGGTATACTCAAATATTTCAAGGGAAGAGACACTATAGTAGCTACTGTTAATGTCATGTTGTCTTGTGGTGAAACACTATGTTGCTTAAATTGTTTTGTTTTGACCTGTGTTGTTATGTCCTCTTTTATTTTAATCTTTTTTTGTAAATAAAAAAATTAAAAAACGAAGATTTAAGGATTAGGCTCTGGGATTGTTGGGAATAATATGGTTAGATTTCCAACATTTGGAAATTGGGAAAAAGAGGAAGATGTACCAAAGGAGACTTAAAAAGAAGCTAGAGAAAAACAGGAGTACGGGGAAGAGACATTAAAAATAAATTTAAAAAAACAATATGCAAAATCACAGAAGATGAATTCAGAAAGTATTCCATGATATAAAGGGGTTTGGGTTTGGGAGACCCTGATAATAGCAGATTTGGTGGAATGGTGAGAACATGAGATGGAAAAGGAGTCAAGGCAGAATTGGAGGGTAAGCATCGTGGTGCAGACCTGCAATCCCAGTACCTGAGAGGCCGAGGAAGGAGGATTAGCTTGAGTTTGAGGCCATCCTAGGCTACATAGTAAGCGGAACTATAACAAAACATCCTATCTCCAAGAAACAAAATAAAATAAAACCAAACCAAACCAATCTGGAGACAGTTGGAAAAGCATTCAGCTGATTATAAATTTTAAGTAGAAATACAACCATTTTTAGCCAAGGATAGTTAAAACATCCTTGAAAAAAAAATAAACTGAAGTGTTCATACTACTCTACATAAAGATTTATTACAAGGTCATAGTAATTAAGACAATTCAGCTTTGGTGCAAAAATAAATGGAGCAGTGGAGAGAGTGGGAAGTGCACAAGTGGAAGAGAACTTGACACGTGTCTGTGCAGTGCATATCCTTGGAGAAAGGGCGGTGTGTGCAGTAAATGACAAAGGGCAGTAGGTCTTCCATTTGAAAAGAAGTTAATATAGGTCTAGATACCACACTACCCAAAATTAATTCTAATGACTTAACTGTTAAAATAAAAGCTTTAAAATATTTTAAAAAATAGAATAATATTTAAAACTTAAAACTGTGACAGTGCTTAAAAATACAGCACAAGAGCACAGACTGTAAAGGAAAAGATTGGTTAAGTTGACTATGTTAAATCTTGTTTTGTTTTTGTGAGATAGAATCTCATTATATAGCTTAAGCTAGCCTTAAACTCATATGTGGGCTAGGCTAGCCCTGAACTCAAAATCCTTCTGTCTCAGCCTTCTAAAACTATGTTAAATCTTTAAAATTTCTTTTTATCAAGGGACACCATGAACAAGATAAAACAAATATGAAGTAGGTGACCTTGAGCTCACTGTGTAACTCGGGCTGCCCTTGAACTTCTACTGATCTTGCCATAACCTCCTGAGTATTGGGATTATAGGTGTGCACCGCCATTTCTGGCTAGAATTTGGTTTTTACAACTACAAATCATGACGTAAATTAAATCTTTCTTTCTTAATAAAAAACTGTAAGTCAGTAAAAAGGTAATCATATAGAAAAGTGAGAGGAAGATACCAACAAACAAGCATAGAAGGAAAAACCTGGGACTGGGGTTGTAGCTCTTTGGAAGACCACATACTTTGTGCACAAGGCCCTAGGCTCCAGGACAAATGAAAGGTGTGCAACATATGAAAAGATATAAAGCCTCATTAAAATCATGAAAATCTCTTAAAATGCTATAAAATTTTTATACCTATCATATTGGCAAAAATTTAAGTTTGTTAATCTCAAATCCTGATGAGGATATATAAATCAGTTCAGTCACTTTTAAAAAACTAAGTTGGCATTACCTACTAAAGTTAAAGGTATACATATTTTACAACCTAGAAACTCAGTATTTAAATATATATCCTAGAGAATCTGTTGCATATTATCATTAGGAAACAAGTACAAGAATTTTCACAGTAGCATTTTTGTGATAGCAAAAGTTATTAACAATCTAAATGTCCACCAGTAGGAAACTATAACATTAAAATGAATATTAAAAACACTGAATGAAACAATAAGTTGAATATGAAGTTTTATGTAATGTTCAAAGACATAGACTTAATACTGTGTTTTAGGGTTGGATACATATGTAGTGAAACTCAGCTCTCAAGCAGGAAAACATCAAATGGGAAACTCCAAATAAAGATCACCCCCTGTTGGAGGGTAGGAGAGTAACAGGGAGCTTCAGAGATTAGTGATGTTTCTAAGCTTTGTGTTCATTTCACCCAAATATCCATACAGGTAAAAGACTATATAAAGTACATACATTAAAATAACAATGGTAAAGAAATTCGTGATGGTTTTATTTTGTCCTTTTGAAATAGGTTTTCACTATGTAGTTCAAGCTGACCTCAGACTGACTTTGTAACTCAGGCTGGACTCAGACTTGCAATGATCCTCCTACGTCAGCTTCCTGAGTGCTGGGATTATAGGCATGGGCCACCATACTTGGTGACCATTTTCAAAAGAAAAGCAATTTAGAAGGAAATGGACACAACTCTGCTAAGAAACTGCCACTGCAATTGGAAGGGTTGGGAAAATGTTGAAGATAATAAATTCAGTGATGGGTTGTGCACTGTCAGCTACAGAAGGAGTTGATGATAAGCCTGTTATATGTAACAGAAACCTAGATTCAAATCAAACTGTAATCAGTAAGAGACCTTAGAAATCTGACCCCACACACAGCACAGATATGGATGGTTCAAGAGAGATAATGTAAGGGATCCCGTATTATATACCTGTGTCATGGTAGAACCTGACTAAACTTAGGTCACTAATTCCCAGCCCAGGTTAGAAACCATGGAAAAGAGCCAGAGACATGCTGAAGGGGAAAGGTACTATTTGAATGTGGAAGAATACAGAAGAGCCTTGAATTGAATCTGAAATTGAAATTTTGGCTGGGGATGTGGAAAGCAAAATACTATAGTATATCGTATATAGTCATGTGTTAACAGTCACCTGACTTGGAAGTTCAGCATCTCTATTCACTAGATACGATGACCCTAAGAAATTCCTTCAACCATTTGAAGCCTGTTTCCTTACCTTTGAAAGAGGAATGCTGATATCTATGCTTATTAATTGTATTTATAAACTCACTAAATGCAGTGCCTGATCTGTCTTAGGTACTCAGTAAATTCTTATTTTATGGAATAATAATGATGTAATGTAGGGTGGAAAATTACTAGGGAAATTTATTTTGTGGGTGTGTTAGCTTTCTTTCAATTACTGTTGCAAAATACCTGAGATAAACTACAGGAAGAAAGGTTTATTTTGGCTTATGGTTTCAGAGGTTTGTCCATGGTTTGCGTGCTCCATTATTTCTTAGCCTGTGGCAGAAGGCTGTAATGAAGCAAAGCTTACCTCTCACAGTGCCCTGGAAGGAATCGGGGAGAGAGAGACAAAGAAAAGGCAGAGAGAAAGGAGCAGGGATCAGATATAGTCCCCAAGGACATGCCACCATTACTTACTCTATTTCTAGTCCCATTCTAGTCCCATTTCTAAATTTCCATCACTTCCCAGCAATGCCATCACATTGTGAATAATGGATTAATACATGGATACAGTTAGAGCCTTTGTGATTTTGTCTCCTTCCAAAAGCCAGACTTTTGAACATTGCTGTGTTAGGGACCAACTTTTTAACATATGAGCCTTTAGAGTACACTCCAGAAACTTTTAACAGTAGGGAAATAGAATGGATTTAAATTTTTTCTGTAAAGGACTTTATTGGGACAACTGACAAAGTGAGTTTGATTTTAGATGTGGTTTTTTTAAAAGATGTGTTTCATTTGATTCATCATGGTCCAAAAAAATCTTGATGTTTGAGTTTTAGACAAATAGAATTCTTGTGCAAATGGAATGGCCAAATCATGATTAGTTATAGACAGCCTGAAAATTAGAAGGCAAAATACCAGAGCTGGTCACGTAAGATTGGTCATTACCAACATAACTGCTCTATCTCGGGGTCAGTTAACTTTTAAGGAAAAAAATATTGAAGACAGACAGTCTAAAAACCATGGTCAAGAAGATATATAAACAAATGCTTGGTCATAAGTGAAAGTAGGATGAAATCAGAAGAACATAAAGTGGATGAAGATGAAGAAAATGAGATGTTGAGCACAAATGCAGTATGGAGTAAAAAAGGGTAAAAAACAGAAAAGCAGATAAATTTGGTAGGTTCTCACTAGTGGCCTTGGAAAGACCAGATACAATGAAATCACAGATGTCTAAGCTGGCCTTTAAAATTGAATGAGAGTATGTGTGGGGAAAAAAATGAAGACCAGGATTCTAAGCTGTTTTCCTTTTGCAGGTCAGATTCATGTAGAAAAACTGAAAATGAGCATTTTTGGATTTATTTTTCAGTCTTTTATAATCTGTTGTCTTCGTGGGTCTGACTTCTGTAACCAGAGCCAGCATTTCCAGATAAGCAAAACCTAAAGGATTTTTCTCTTCTATTTATTTCTTTCATTTTGCAACAGATGTTACCCTCAATTCCCTGGTGTCTGAAGCATTTGTGAGGTTTTTTGTGGAGCTGGTGGGACATTATTCTTTGAACATGACTGTCACTGAACGTGGGGAGCGTGTATTCCAAAGGGAGCCATTTCGTAAATCCCACACTTCCCGACGTGTACGCCACTTCCTGGATCTCTTTATGGAGACTCAAATGTTTGCAGGATTCATCCAAGACCGAGAGCTTCGCAAAAGTGGGGTTAAAGGTCAGTTCCTATGATAGTCTTCCTTTATTTGATGAGTGCTAGAAAGGTTTGAATGTAATATAGACAATTAAAGTATTTGTAAATCTTCAGGGGCTCAAAATCTAAATTGTTTATTGTGGTAATTATTTATTTTGCAGTAACATTTTAGCTATAGAAATAACTGGTAATGAGAACAGAATTTTATTTAATTAAGTTCCAGTGTACATGTGTAAGTTTCACCAACATGAGTTTTCTTCCTAGGTTTGTTTGAAGTTCGGGCTCTCCAGTATTTGGAAACAATTCCTGAGTCTGAGCCTAGTGGGATGAACAGAATTTTGCGGAGTCTTGGTGAGTTGCTTTATTCTCCTATTAGTTAAATGTGACTGAAAAAAGCTTCTCAGTAAACAAGCTTCATCTCAAAAGGTTTTTTAATCAGATAGTACTGTAACTTCAAGTAGGCTGACCAGCAATTAAGGCCCTAGTTCCATCATGTTTTAGAAGAAAAAGTCTCTCAGAAATTAGGATTCCCCATCAGCATGTTTAGAGCACTTCTCTCAGGATCTCTGAACTATCCCTCTATGGTATATTTCCATGTCATGATTATTAATCGTTTTTTAAGTTATAGCTCTTGAAGAGCCTCATAAAAACCCTCTTCCCAGAAAAATATGCTTATGACACACGAATTTTATATGATGTTTGTAGATATCCCCCCAAGCCTATGAACTCTAGATTAAAAAGAGCTGATTTTAGGGCCTTTGAGACAAAAGAAGATATCTTGCAAGTCTTTAATTTTTCAGTTCTCTTTTAGTTACGGTTGTTCAGTATGATAGAGGAGAACAGTGGTACAAAGTATCAAAGAACATGTATATATTCTGTTATAGTAGGCTTTAAAATATATGCCTCTAATTAAGCCCTGTCTTTAATTAACTGAGAAGCCATGGGCAAATTATGCTTTTGGCTGTTACTTCATCCTTTATACCATAGGTCTAGATTAGATCAGTGGTTCTTAGCTCTAATAATAATCTACTGGGAGCTTAAAAAATTTTTCCATGACTGGCTGTAGTGGCTTTCCTCACAATAGCTGTCTTAGTTACTTTTCTTTCATTTCTGAGACCAAATACCCAATCCTCAGAGTAAAAGGGGAAAAGTTTATTTAGCTCACAGTTTGTAGAGGTTTTAATCCATAATTGGCTGGCGCTAAGGCAAGGTGGCTTGGGAGAGAGGCATCCCAGGGGAAAAAATAATTTATTGTGGCAGAAGACAACAAAAGCAAGTAAGGGAAGGGGTAGACAAGCCCCTTTCTGACCTTTATATTGTACGCAGTCTACTGGGATTAGGGCAGTACCAATCTAATCAGTGAACTGTTCCAGCAATCACGTGCCCTTCAGTGTGGCAGACTGTGGCCCTTCCAGGGGGAGAACCAGCAGCAGCTCCTGAGATCCGCGCCGTGTTGGAACTTAGGACACTGGGAAGCCAAGCAAGCACCTCCCCTCCCTGGTAAGCGGTGGTGGTCTGGCAGACTGCAGCCCTTCCAGAGGGAGAACCAGCAGCAGCTCCTGAGATCCACACCATGTTGGAACTTAGGATGCTGTGAAACCAAACCTGCCTCCCTGCTAAGCGATAGTGAACCTACTGATGCACGGCCTAGAGTCAGGTATCCCACTTGCCCTACCCTCCTTCTTCTGTCCCCCCATTATCAAATGGAAACCAGAAATCTGAGCGTCTCCTGGGAGGCTGACCATAGCAAATAAGGGGGACTTCCTTCTACCATCTCTTTGAAGGCAAATATTTTTATTACTATTTTGCTCTTTTCTGATTAATGGTACTGCCCTATTCAATATTCTGTTTTGATAAGTTCTATAATATTCTGTATTTCATTTTATTTTGATATACATGATTGAAAGAACAACTATTATAAAGATAACAAAATATACTGTGATACCTATTACTGTTATCCCGGTAACCTGCTGTGAAGTTCTGTACCAGTTTCACTGTACGATCTTAGTTGGCGTTATTCTGTCTTGTTCTGTTGCATACATTCAAAATAAAATTTTAAAAAAAATCACGTGCCCTTAATCCCAGCATGATACCATGAACTAATTACATACTGCAGACTCAGCCACCTCTGCAAAAGCCCTAAAACTGCATAAGGCTAAGGGTGGATATCTAGGCATAAACCATCACAATAGTCCACCCGTTGTCCTCCAGAGTGTTTTTTTATTTTGCTTTTGCCTCTTACTCAGCCCAAGTTTGCTCTACATAGCCATATTATCCTTTTCACTTTTACTTTTTTCTACTCTTTACTTTTTTTCAAATAAATTTTATTGCCATCCAAAAAGAGAAAAAAATTCCTTTGTACTTTAGAAAATCCCTGGAATGTAAATCAGGTAAGTTTAAACTATAGTTAAGGTTGAAAACCTCTGAATTAGATTATGTCTGCCTTTTTTTCTGCCTCTGCAATTAAGACACTTGGATTTTTTATTGACTGAACACAGTAGTTGATAGTTTTTTATATGCATCTATCTTTTTTATTTTATTTTTTTAATTTCATTTTGAAAATAGTAAAATACAACAGATCAAGACAGAATAAAGCCAACTAAGATTGTACAGTGAAATTGATACGGAACTTCACAGCAGGTTACCAGGATAACAGTAATAGTTATCACAGTATATTTTGTTATCTTTATAATAGTTGTTCTTTCAATCATGTATATCAAAATAAAATGAAATACAGAATATTATAGAACTTATCAAAACAGAATATTGAATAGGGCAGTACCATTAATCAGAAAAGAGCAAAACAGTAATAAAAATATTTGCCTTCAAAGAGATGGTAGAAGGAAATCCCCCTTATTTGCTATGGTCAGTCTTCCAGGAGATGCTCAGATTTCTGGTTCCCATTGGCTAATGGGGGGACAAAAGAAGATGGGTAGGGGAATGGGATGTTTGACTCTAGGCCGTGCACCAGTAGGTTCACTATTGCTTAGCAGGGAGGCAGGCTGGTTGCTTGGTTTCCCAGCTTCATAAGTTCCAACATGGTATGGATCTCAGGAGACACTGGTGGTTCTCCCCTGGAAGGGCTGCTGTCTGCCACACTGCAGCCACTTACCAGAGAGGGGAGGTGCTTGCTTGGCTTCCCAGTGTCCTTAGTTCCAACATGGTGTGGATCTCAGGAGACACTGGTGATTCTCCCCCTGGAAGGGCCACAATCTCATTAGTTGATAGTTTGATAGTCAGCTTTTCATTATTGTAAGAAAATACCTAAAATAATCAAAAAGAGAAAAAGCTGGGAATGGTGGCACATACCTGTAATCTCAGTACCCTCAGAGGCTGAGGCAAGAGTTTTGTAAGTTAGAGCCCAGTCTAGGAAAATTACTGGGACTGTGTCTCAAAATAAAAACAGGCTGGGGATATAGTTTAGTGCAAAGGCCCTGTGCCTAACCCCCAGTAGCATCAGAAAAGAAAAGAAAAAGAAGAAAATTTTCTTTTGGCTCATAATTTTAGAGATTTTATTGCATGGTAATTTAGCCTTCATTTCATTTGAGCCTCTAGCAAGGCAGTACCTCATGACAGGACAATGTGGTGGAGGAAGCCACTCACTGTGTGGTGGCTCAGAAGCAAAGAGAGACAGGAAAGTGCTAGGGTCCCAGCATTCTTGGCAAGGGCACACCTCAGCCACATAGCGAGAATTCCAGAAGACTCCACCTCTTAAAGATTCCAAACTTCCCAGTAGTACCAGGCTGGAGACCGGATCTCTAACACATGAGCCTTTGAGATAGTTGCTGAACCTTGGGTTATCCTGAACGAGTAGCCTGTTAATCCATTATCTTAAATAAAACACTGTTAACAAAAATAAATGGGAGTGTTCACTCTACCTCTTTCTCCTTTTAGGAAGTAAAATGAAATTTCTGCAGAAGAAATGAATCTTTGTCTCCATCTTAAATAGAATGAAAAGTGCCAAAGAAACTGTTTGTCCAAGGGTCAGGATACCTTTGAAGAATTGTAAAAAACCCTTGAAATTTTAAAAGGTTAAGGAGCAGGTCGAGTTCAAAAAGGAAGACTTTCTGTTGCTGCTGCACAATCACTGGAAAATTGTTGGAAGTAATTTGGAACTATGCTGTCTACTGCTTACACCTTTTTTTTTTTTTTACAGTGACCTTTTCTGTTTGACTCTTGGGCTTACTTTCTGCTATATGCTTAGTTCTTAAAGGCTGTTGTCTTTACAAGGGAAAAGTTGTTACTAAATATCTTTTTTAAATAAAAAGCTTAAAGATGATTCTAATGAATAAAGGCTGGAAGGGGCTGGCGATTTAGCTGAGCAGTACAAGTGGTTGCCTGGCATGAAGTGATGAGTTTGATCCCTGGTACCAAAAAAAAAAAAAGAAAAAGGCTGGTGTTGGAGTACTGGAGAGACATGGTTGAAATGGCAGTGACTAGCCTTACGCACACAATTCTCATCACTGAAATATCATGGCAGCTTTAAACCCAAGAGCTAAAAGCCAGGCGCTATGGCACCATACCTGTAGTTCCAGCTACTTGGTGGGTGAGCCAGTTGGATCATGAATTTTGAATTCAGCCTGGACAACAGTGAGATCTTGTCTCAAAATAAAATAAAAATTTCAGTAAGACCATGAGTTTTTTGAACTTACAAACTGAAATATATTCATCATTTATCTTTTTTTGGTCTAATATCCTGTCAAGGGGAATCTCTTATGTGAAAGATTTTGTAGTGAGTAGACATACTGCAGCTCCTCCTCCACAATGTATGGCACTTAAGTGACTTGTCCCTCACGTGTCAACATTACAGTCTAAATATAATAGCTAATGCAGAAATATTCTTTCAGCCATGTATGGTGCACACTGATAATCCCAGCACTGGGGAGGCTGGGGCAGGACAGTTATTGTGAGTTAAAGGCCAGCCTTTATTACATAATGAGACTATCTCAAAACTACCATCCTTACAAGGACATGGAAACTAGCTTTTTTGTGTGTCCACTATTTGGCATGCAATATGGTGTATGTATATATATCATTTTATTCAAGCCTTATATCAATTCTGAGATATTTGCATGTTTTATTGACGAAGACACTATAATTCAAAGAAACTAACTTAGTTATACAATTCAGATAGACATGAAGCAAAGACTTAAGAACACAAAAACTTCTTTAGTCTTAAGAGTTGAAAATATGAACTCTGTGGGATTACTAATCAGCTATTTTAAAGGTTTTTTTTTTTTTTCCTTAAGTGTCCAGAGCTCACCTCAGTTCAGATAAGGGACTTTAAACTATAAGCATCTAGATGAGGCAAACACTTCACCACTCAATTATACCCCCAGTGTGAGACCTGTTTTTTCGACAGTAATAAGGAGTGAACCCAGGGCCTTCAACCTGAGCTGCATCCCCAGCATTTTTATTTTGAGGCAGAGTCTAGCTAAATTGCCCAGCCTAGGCTCCAACTTTTGATCTTCCTGCTTCAGCGTCTGAGAGTGCTAGGATTACAGGTATGTACCATCACTGTGCTTGACCCACTGTAAGATTCCTTTAAAAATTATTGGATTTTTACTGTAATTAAATGTGACTCAGAATATGAACATTTCCTGAGCATATACTACTTAATCACCTACATCTTTAATATATATAGCAGCAGTAGTGATTGGTTTTTGTTTTGTCTTTTTGAGACAGGGCTTCACTATGTAGTTCAGGCTGGCCTTGAACTCAAGTTGTAGCCCAAACTGGCCTCAAACTTTCAGCAATCCTTGTGCCTCCACCTGCCGAGTGCTTGGGTGACAAGTACGCATTACTACACCCACCAGCAGAAGTGACTGGAAAGAGTTTGTCAGTGATGCAATATTCGTCAGTAAATGTTATACCAAATGTCAGCTGTTTAATGTTTGTTTATGGTTTTAACTGGCATAGAATATAGTCATTCAAATTTACAAAACCTTATAAATTGTATGATAGTTTATTGACTTGTATAGTGTTGTCAGTATGAACCAGTGAGGTATGCTTAAATGACTCTGAAGCAGACACCATGTAAAACTGGTGCTGTGTAATATAGTTCCTGCAGATGTGGGTCCAGGGATTAGACTGGGCCTGTGTCTTTTTAAACGTTGATTAAACAGCTTACCCCCATGGGGGCATCTATCAAACATTTCCCCATTTGGTCTCTGATACCCCAACCTTAAAGGAAAAATTAGAGATTGAGGATTCATAACATGGGGATAGGAGGGTTTACTGTAGGGAGTCTTGTCTGTGCCTCTGCAGGGAGACTTTGCTTCAGGGATGACAGCGTTATGTTCATCATGCAGTCTGAAGCTGCTTCTTTATGTCGGTTGAGTTTTGATTTTTGTAAAGTATTGTGAATTCTGGATATGTTTGTAAAAGAACTGCTCGAGAATTGTATAAAATGTTTACAGATATTTTAATGAATAAAGATATTAAATCTCGGGGAATTTGAAATAAAATATTTAAAATGTAAAGATCTTTTACGCCATTTAAATGTATAGATAGGCAGTGCATTTACCTGGTGGCAAATTAGAAAGATGATCTGAATCTATCCTAACAGGTTTAGTAACTGTGGCCAGCATTTTCACGCTTTCAGCACAAAGGCTAGACTGCACACAAGACATCCATCTCAACGATTGTTTTTCTTTTCCTGTTTAGTCAAAGGGAGGCTGCTTAGTCTGGGGACCAGTAGAAAAGTGCACTGCAGCAGCTTGAATGGGTGGCAGGCAAAGAAGAGGCAAAGCCACTGGTGTTGGTATTCTAGACTCTGCAAAGACAAAACGGATGAGCTTTTAAAAGTGAGATACAGTTACCAGTCTCGCTTAAAGCTTGACCATTCTAATGGAACTTTAATTTACCTGGGAGGAAATTTTTTAGGACGCTGAGGACGACAAGGATACACAAGAAAATACAAGAGAAAAACTCGGCACCGTGAAAGAGGCGTTGGTGGAGGAAAAGGCTGGCTTAACGAATAAATGGAGTTTGGAAACCAGTTTTGCTTTTTTTTTTTTTTAAAGTGTCTCAGTTGTGGCTGACAGTGAAGCCCAGGCTAGCCTCAAACTCCAACGATCCTCCTCTCGCAGCCTACAATTACTAGAATTAAAGGCATGCGCCACCATGCCCAGCAGAAGTCAGCTTTTCTCTTCCTAACATACATTTTTTGTTTGGTTGGTTTTGATTTTTCATTGCTGTCTTTGAGACAGGAATCTCACTAAGTAGTTCAGGCTGGTTTTGAATTTACTTTGTAGTCGAGGTTGGGCTCGAACTCGCGGCAATCCTCCTGCCTCGGTCTCCAAATTGCTGGGGTTACAGGCGTGGGCCACAACGCCCAGCTCTTCCTATACGTCTTGTAACGAGTTTCTTTCACAAGTGTCAATCCGCAGAAGACGAAAAATCCCAGTTCCACTTGCTTGTTGCAAACCGCAGGCCACAGGAAATAAAGGGAGAGAGGATTGGCTAACGAGAGGAAGTTGGGATGTTTGAGGGCACTCTGGGACGTAAGGGCGAGACGTCACGTCCGCCCAACACAAAACCGGGAAATTAGCTAGAGCTAGCGCGCCTACAGAATTAGCATCTGAGCATGCGCCAAAGTAGCCGCGCAGGCGACGTGATTACGTCACTGGGGTTACGGGCGTAGTTAAACTGGACAGATCGAGTGCACACAGAAAATCTAGCAGAGTGTTCTTTCTCTGCGATGGCGGGCACGGGCTTGGTGGCCGGAGAGGTAGTAGTGGATGCACTACCATATTTTGATCAAGGGTATGAAGCGCCAGGCGTGCGGGAAGCGGTGAGTGCGGGGTGTCTGTGTTGGCTGACAGTGCTCGCTGGCCCAGTGCCTGAGGTGGCACCGTGCATATCTTCTGCTGCCTCTACCGTGGCCCGCGTTCTCGTTTCTAGGCTGCGGCGCTGGTAGAGGAAGAGACTCGCCGATACCGACCTACCAAGAATTACCTGAGTTACTTATCATCCCCGGATTATTCTGCTTTTGAAGTAAGTGATAGTTCGAGCCCAGTGTGTGAACGAGGATTCTTGTGAATCCTGATTTTGGATGGAGGGCTTTAGCTACACAGAAGTCACGTGTTGCTTTTAAAATATCTCCAGTTTAATTATTACTTGCTTAGCTTCTAGTTACATGTCTTTAGGTATCCATGTATTGACAACAGCCAGATAAGCCTTCCTCAGAATTCTGAGATCCAGAAAAGGACTCATTACAGGGTCCGCAAACTCTAAATGCAAAATTTTGTGTACTTTTTTTGAATAAAAATTCTTGTGTAAATTCTGAAAGAAATTCTCTTCTAAGGTCCACGTTACAGAAAGATGTTTGAATTTTTTAATATATGTAGGCGTAATTGTTGATCGTCCTTAGAACCGCTAGAGGGAGGCTTTTAATTAAAGACTAGATATTTACCAGATGGATGTGAATGACTGAACAAAGCAGTATCTGAGTATGTACCTGTAAAATTTTGACCTAGAAATACAGCCAAGATACTAGTTAGGATCAAAACAGGCAAATGAAATATAAAATATCATTTCTGAATTATTCAGTGGTAGAGACCCTGCCCATGTTCCTTTTCTCCTCCATTGTTTGCCAAGAGCTAAATGTCAGAATAGCAGCCAGGACCAAAAAAAGTATAGATTTAGGCACGTAGACTGAAACAAATTATTCTATGCCTTAAGAATTTTCTCTTCCTCCTGTTATCAAAAAGTATTTAGGTCCGTGGTCCTTTACACTGGCTTCCTTTGACAATCGATTTGCAAGTAAGGCAGGAGTAGCCCTAGGTTCAATTAAAAAAAAAAACAAAACAAAACAAAAAACAGTTACAAGCCTGCCCAGACTTCCATTCAAATCAGTTAACTGGGAGTGAGAAGAGTAGATAGGGCTAGGATTAGAACTAAATTTAGAGCTCCCCAACTGACTGCAGTGTGCCACTGAGACTGAAAAGGATTTAGGATTGATCCTTTCCTTTTACACCAGATTTCTTGTTCCAGAGTAAGTGTGGAATTGGTGTATGTTTCTTCAGACTCTAAAGAGCATTTAACTCTGAGAATTGCTGAGTATAGTAATAGTAATAATTCAGTGGTAGAGCATGCTCTTAGCATGTGCAGTGCTTTGGGCCCAGTCCTGAGCAGAGAAAAGTAAAAAGCTGGGTGTGGTGGCACTTGCTGTTTTCCCAGAACTCTGGGATGCTGAGGCAGGAGGATTGAAGGTTCAAGCGCAGCCTGGGAAAGTTAGCAAAACCTTCTCAAAATAAAAAGGGTTGAGTGTATAGTTAAATGCAAAGACCCTGGGTTCAATCTGCAATACTTAAGGAAGAAAGGAAGGAAGAAAATGAATTGGGGGAAGAGAAATGATCCCTTACAATGCGTAGTATAAAGTATAGCTTGTGTTTTTTGGCTGGTTATTAATTTCAATGTGCTAATATGTTCTTGGAAGTAATTCTCTAATTTATACATCAGACTGACATAATGCGAAATGAGTTTGAAAGATTGGCTGCTCGACAACCAATTGAATTGCTCAGTATGAAACGGTAAGAATATTAAATTTTCATTTATAATAGCTCATTAATAAGAGTATTTGCTAACCATCAGCAACATGAAGAGAGAATAGAGTGGGGTCTAAATACATGTTCTTGCATTTTCTTCTCTAAAAGTAGTGTGGGTGTTTGACAAAAATGGTAAAATTTTTTATGACCACTTTTTCCTTTTGATATATTAAATATTTTTCAGTAACTTTTTAAAAAAGACATAGCAGGTACAAGAATCTCTTTAACAGGGTTGTGCAGCTGGAGAAAGAAATTGGACTCACCTTCCAGTAATATCATTTAACAGCAAATATGACAGTCTTTTATGTGAATATAATATAGTTTATCTAATTCACATTGAACTTGTTACTGTATATAATGGTGCTAAGCCTTGTTTGTAAATTGTTTCTTAGGATAAGTGGATTTCTTTTATTTTTGAGACAGGGTCTTGCTGTGTAGCACAGGTCGGCTTTGAACTCTTGGGAATCCTCCTGCACTCAACTTCCTGAGTGCTAGGATTACAGGCCCACGAGTTACTGTGTTAGTAGGGAGGATGACAGTGTGGCAGGATATGTGATTTAATTTTATTTTATTGTATAATTTCAGATACGAGCTTCCAGCCCCTTCCTCAGGTCAGAAAAATGACATTACTGCATGGCAAGAATGTGTAAACAATTCTATGGCTCAATTAGAGCATCAAGCAGTTCGAATTGAGAATCTAGAACTGATGTCCCAGCATGGATGTAATGCCTGGAAAGTATATAACGAGTAAGAAACTTCATCCCATTTCTCCTCCCCTCCCTCCCATGCCACCCAGAGGTTTATTTTTTAAAATTGTAGGAGGCAGGTATTGGAAATGGGATAAAAATAATATTGCTGGAATTGATTCAGGGTCATATCTAGAGCTGTAGTCAGATGAACAGCTGCTGCTTGGAGACCTGCTACAAAGCTCAAGAGTGCTATGAGGACTTAACCTAGCTACCATATTGACTCTGTAATAATACTGTAAGAAAAAGAGTATTTTAGGGGCTGGGGATTTAGCTCAGCAGCATAAGCACCTGCCTTGCAAGCAGGCAGTCATGAGTTCGATCCCTGGTACTGAGAAAAAAAACAAAAAAGAAAGTGTAAAAAAAAAAAAAAAGAAAATGAGTATTTTGTTTTATTTTGTTGTTGCTGTTTTTTTAGACCTTGTTGTTTCTTAGACAAGGTCTCCCTATGTAGTTCAGGCTGGCCTTGAACTCACTGGGTAGCCTAGGCCAGCCTTGAATTTGCACTGATTCTTCTGCCTCAGCCAAATTTTGGGATTACAAGTATACGTCACCACACCTGGCTTAGAACATAAGTTTTGAGGGCTGCTTTACAAATCATCACCTTATAAAGTGTAATTTTTAATATGGGAATGCTTATACCATTGATTCTCATTATTTATGTTATGTGAGTTTTAGTGTTTAAAGACAGGGTCTCACTAAATAATCCAAACTGGCCCGGGAATTTTATAGTGTCTCTGCCTCAGCCTCTCAGAGCAGTATGACTATAGGCAGTTAGAATATATCATATTCTTTAAAGTCTCCATGAACACTGAATTAACAAATACTGTACCATTTCTTCTAGGGAAAATGTATACGTGCACATATCTCACATAGATTATAATGTTAAATTCTAAAAACAACTCTTGGTAGGTTTTATTTTCTTATAAGAGAAAACAGCTCAGAAGTATAAAGTGCTGTGCTTGATACAGTTTCACTAACATAAGCGGGTTGTGGAATTTAAGTTCCATCCTTTGCTCTTCTCTGAATGAGAACTGAAACAAGGCACAGGGGCTCCTTGCACAGCGTAAGCTGGGAATGTGGTAACCAGCAACTCAGGCTTTTTATTGGTGTGCGTGCATTTACAGGTGACAGAGCACTGTGGTGAATAGGGATTGCCAGTATGTTAGAGAAGACGACTAATCAATGTGGAATTTGTGAATAATGAGAATCAAAATTGTAAATAGTTAACGTCATAAAGGATTTTGCTATAGAGACAAGATGCTGAGCATTAGTTTATTTTCCTTTTTTCTTTTAAAAGAAAAAGTTGAGCTGGGCGTGGTGGCACACATCTATAATGCCAGCAGTAGGGAGGTTGAGACAGGAGGATTGCCACAAATTTGAGGCCCGCCTGGGCTACAAAGTGAGTTCCAGTTTCCATATAGTGAAACCCTGCCTCAAAAAAAAAAAAAAAAAACCCTAAAATAAAAGGAAAAATGTATTGGGGACCAGGAATAACTCCTGGGAGATAAGAGATGGCCTGAATGGGTTGCCAACAAGCCTGCTTCTCTGAGAAAGTTTTATAGAGCAGAATCATGAGGTGAGTATAACACAGGTCAAAACTGTAATCAATCAATATGATTAGCTGCTTAGCTAATACTGATCCAGTAGGAGCAGGGACATACGGGTCTGCTTGCTTGCTGGCTTGTGTGCTTGGCTTTTATTTTTTTCTTTCGTTTAAGTACTGGCAGTTGAACCCAGCAGATTCCCCTCTTCCCTTTTGTGTTCCTGAGGATTGAACATAGGGCTTTTACACTGAGACACTAAGCTACATCCTTAGCCATCCATGTATCTGTCCATCTATCCATTCATTTGGTTTTTTTGAAACAGGGCCTTAGTATATACTTCCATCTGGCCCGGAACTGTGAAATCCTGACTGACCTCAACTCCTGGTAACCTTCCTGGCTCAGTCCCCTGAGTGCTGGGGTTGGAGGCATGCACCACCATACCCAGCTTCCTTTTCAGTTAGAAAAGGCCATTAAACCTACAATCATAGGGAAAGCTTTGTTAGATTTTTTTTTATGAACTATAACAATATAAAATAAGAGCACAAAATGTCAGATGTCTTCTTTTCAAGTCTTCAAAATTATGTTTCAAGTCCCTGTGGTTATATAATCATCCATTGAGCAAAATCTAGAATTTGGGAAACTACAGGTTAAAGGGGTGGGTTTTGGTTTGTTTGGTACTTTTGTTTTGTTTTGTTTTGTTTTGTTTTGTTTTGTTTGTAATGAAAGAGAAAGAAAGGCAGAATAGAATCAGGTTAATTAAGAAATAGACACAGATTAGTCAAGAAACTGGAAAGAAAGGTAAGAATTGGGTTTTTGGAAAAGAGCAAATGGGAGAACATTGCTTTCTTGTCTTTCCTGATTGAAATGTTGCCTGTAGTGCTATGTCTACTGAGTAACTGTGTAGCTGCTCTGCATATCACTGCATTTAATCACATAGTACTCTACCGTAGAACATCCTCCTTAACATTTTTATCTTCTCCAAACCCAATGAATGCGTCTCTAGAGATGGTGTACTATATTTTATCAAAGTGAATTTAAGCAGGAAGATGGAACAGAAGACCAAGCAATAAGCTAAGTCTTCAGGGAAAGTAAACTTAGAGGAAGGGAAAGGTTCTTTTTAATGATCAAAGGATAAGAAAAAAGTACTAAAAGTGGTAGTCTCAACGTGGAGTAATTGTTGAACCCACAGAATGGCAGAGGAGCTGAGGGTACACTCATAGCGGATATTTTCCAACTTCTTAATTAAAAGAAACCAAGACAAACTGGTTGGGAGGTGTGGTTGCACACACCTGTAATCACAGCACTGGCAAGGCTGAGGCAAAAGGATCACTGAGTTTTAGGCCAGCCTTGTGTCAGAAAAGCAAAGAAAAAGTCATAGAATGCCTAACATAATTGGCACCAGAACTCAACATTTACTATTTTGGGGCCAGGTGTGGTGACATAGACCAGTAATCCCAGCACTTGGGAGGCTGAGGCAGGAGGATTATTGCAAGTGCAATACCAGTTTAGGTTACAATGTGAACTGAAGGCCAGCCTGAACTGCGTAGTGAGACCCTGTCTCAAAAGAGACCAAAAAAAAAAAATTTTTTTTTTACTATTTTTATTTTTTTAAAAATTTTTTTATGTGTGATAATATGGATGACTGTTTTTAAAGAAAGCAAGACATAGTAACCATTGTTCATTTCCTGTTATCTGGTTTTAAAGTCCTGTAATGTTTTCATTTTTTTGTTTTGATTGGTTTTAGTCTGTTTTCTATTATTTGATTTCATTATGTCTGAAGGTATGGACAGCTGTTTTGAAGAAAAGTAGACATTATGGTAGCCATTTTGATTTCCGATTGTGTTGTTTTGAAATTTACTATTTTTAGCAGGAAAATTTGATTTTGTATGCGCTAGGTAGTTCACATTTAGTTGGCATTACTAGATTTTAATGTATATTAGTCTGATTTTCATTTCTTTCTACAGAAATCTAGTTCATATGATTGAACATGCACAGAAAGAGCTTCAGAAGTTAAGGTAAATTGTTTTGGGGTTTTATTTCTTTCCTGTTTTAGAATATAATAAGGTGAATCCTTATGTGTGGGGGAACAATAAGACTATAGTCAAAAAATAATAATAGATTTATTTTTTCTCCAGCACCTGGCTTTGAATTTGCCCTGTCTGAATAAAAGAGAAATAGGTTGAGGTCTGAAAACATCTCTACTGGACATTTACCACTTTCAAGTCCACAGACATAGAAAAGTCACTTTTTATGGGAGGGAAGTAGGGACATTTCAGAATAATGTGTACATATAACCTGATTTATATATTTTTTAAAAAACCAACAATGTCTGCATGCATACGCATATGGGAACAGATGCTGCTTTTTTACATCATTTCATTTTGCTAGTAAGATAATACCACAGACCAAAGAAAGATTTATTTTTGACTTACAGTTCTGGAGCTCCCAAGTTGAGGGGCTGTGTCTGGTGACAACTTCCTTGCTGGCAGAATTCCATTGTGGTGCAGGGCATCACATGGCAAGAGTCAGGGAGGCTGCACATCTGCACATGTGTGTTTTGGTCTTTCTGACATTAGAAATCACCTTGACCTTCTCTAATCCTAATCACTTCTAAAAGCCCACCCATATCCAGTATAGTTGGAATAATTTTTCGCTCTCATAATTCCTCACAGTGGGGATTAAACTCTAGCATGAGTTTTAGAAGGGAATAACCACATTTAAAGAATAGTGCCTTCCAGAAATTCAGTATCAGTTAGCAGGAAAGAGAAATGTATGAGAAGAGAGAGTTTTGATTTGTGATCAGTGTGTTTGTTTGGGTGTGGGTTCTTTAAAAATCTATTTTGTTTGGTTGTACTGGGGAATGAACCCAGGGCCTCATTCATGTTAGGCATTGTTCTACCACTGAACTATGTCCTCCCTTTTTGAAAATTTTCTCTTGAGACAGGATCTTACTAAATCGCCCAGACTGTCCTTGAATTTGTGATCTTCCTGCCTCAGCCACTTGATTAACAGGGATTACAGATGTACAGCACTGTGCCCAGTTTGAATGTGTTTTTTGATTTTTCATAATGAGCACATTTTCTGAAATTTATAATTGAAAAGATAAATAGAAGAAAGTTAATTCCTAGAATTAGTCTATAATTGTGTATGTATCTCTTCTAAAGGGATTAAAGGTACCATCTGATACTGGTTATTTTTTTATGTTTAGTTTTATGTTAAACTGTAGTTGAGTTGCATAAATGCCTTTTTACAGGAAACACATTCAAGATTTAAACTGGCAGCGAAAGAATATGCAGCTCACCGCTGGATCAAAACTGAGAGAAATGGAGTCAAAGTGAGTATCCATAATTCTGTCATATTTTAAACTGCCACCCCATTTGAAAATCAGAATTGTATAAGATTCAAACCGTTGGTATTGTTCAGACAATTGAGTACAGATGTCTTACGCTCTGGGTGAATGATTCGGGGATGACAGTGTGCAATGTATGTTCCATTGTTACCCCCGATTGATGTGCTTTGAAATTTTATTGCAGGGTTTTTTCTTCTTCTTCTTTTTTTTTTTTTTTCTTTCTTTTTATGTTTGAATAAAATGAATTTGAAAAAAATTTAAAAAGGTTCAAACAGTATTTTATATGAGATGCTATAGATGTCAAACAACTGCTTTCTTTTTTTTTTTCTCTTGTGCTACTGAGAAATGAACACAGGGCCTTCACACTGAGCTACATCCCCCACGGCCCTTTTTGAGACAGGGTCTCAGTCTCACTGAGTGGCAAAGTTGCCCAGGATGGGTTCATGTTTGTGACCCTTCTGCCACAGGCTCTTAGAGTACTGGAAGTATAGGCTTTCATCACCAAGCCTGGCTTCAAAATGCTGTTTTCTGAATCTGCTTCTTCCTGAAATATAGACCTATAAAGCAATTAGAGAGTTATAAATAAGAATTAAAGCTGAGAGTGGTGGTACGCATCTCTGCTCCCATCCCTTAGGTGTCTGAGGCAGGAGGATTACCCTAAGTTCAAAGCCAACCTTGGGGGGCTGAGGGTTTAGCTCAGCGGCATAAGCACCTGCCTAGCAAGCAGGCAGTCGTGAGTTCGATCCCCGGTACCGATAAAAAAAGAAAAAGACAAAAACAAAACAAAACAAAGCCAACCTTGGCTATATAGTGAATTCAAGGTTAGCCTGAAATACATAGAAAAATTGTAGTTTTTTTTTGTTTTTGTTTTGTTCTGTTATTTTGGTTTGTTTGTTTTTGAGGTAATATCTTGCTATGTGTTTCAGGCTGGCCTTCTCTGTGTTTCAGGCTGGCCTTGAACTCACTATGTAGCCCAGGCTGGCCTTTAACTCATAGTGATCCTTCTGCTTCACCCTCCTGAGTGCTAGGATTATAGGTGTGCACCTCCACCTGGTAACAAAATTCTTTCTCAAAAAACAAAAAAGGGAAAAGAAAAAGAATTAAATCATTGCTAAGTGATCTTGGTCTCAAGGCACCCCTCTTTTTAGACCAGCTTTCTGGCTCTTAGTAGGAGATCAGCCTTTGGTTTTGGCTTGGTTTGATCTGGAAATTTTTTTTTTTTTTTTTTTTGGTCAGTACTAGGGATTGAACCCTGGGCCTCCCACATGGTAAAAAGGCCCTTTGTTTGCTTTCTTTTCTTCTGTCTTTGTGTGTGGGGGGCGGGGGGGGATTGTACTGGGTATTAAACCCAGGGCCATACTATTAAACCCATGTGTGCATGCTAGGCAAGCAGTTTGCCACTGAGCTACATTGTCAGACCTTTTATTTCTTATTATGAGACAGATTCTCACTAAGTTGCCCCAGAATGGCCAAGAACCTGTAACCCTGCTGGCTCAGCCTTCTGGTTAGTTGGGATTATGGGCATGTACCCAACTCCAGCCCTATTTTTAAAAGAAAAGAAATTCATCCTTTTTTTTGTTTTTTCCCAGCCTTGTAGGAGCAGAAATTCGATGTTTTGCTTGATCATTTATGACTTAGCTTTTTCCCCTTTGTTTTCACATTTTACCTTTTAAATCTTCTGTACATACATGTTCTATGCAAATGCCTAGATATATGATACTGAAATTTTGTGTCATTTCTCTTCTCTTTGCTATTTTTCCCTTCCTCCCTTCATTACCAGTCTTATTCTCTGCCTGCCTCCTCTCTGCTCCGTTACCCTATGTTGTCCATCTCGTAGGCATCATTTCACATCTTTCTTCACACTGATAAGTGTTTCCTTTTTAGGCCATCTTGAGATTCTCCATTTTTCTATCACTATTGCCTTTGCCTTGTTTGCTTGTGTCTCTTAATGTTGTCTTTCCTCTCTACTATCTTTTCTGTCTTACAGATTCCCTCTTCTGATGTTTCTTCTTATTTGTAATTAAACTTCTTATTTTAAGAAAACTGTAGATTTGGGGGCTGGGGATTTAGCTCAGCGGCATAAGCGCCTGCCTTGCAAGCAGGCAGTCATGAGTTTGATCCCCGGTACCGATAAAAAGGAAAAAGACAAAAAGAAAACTGTAGATTCACATGGCAGTTGTAAGAAGTAATACAGAGATCCTGTACCCTTCACCTCCTTTCCCATAGTCGTGCCTAAGGTTTTTGTTTTATTTGTTTGTTTGTTTGTTTGAGACAAGGTCTTGCTTTGTAGTGCAGATTGACTTTGAAAGCAGTGTGTAGCCTATGGTGGCCTCAAAATCATAGTGATCCTCCTGTCTTAGCCAAGTTGTGGAATTACAGATGTCCACCATCATGCCTCCCAGTGCATAAGATTTTAAAATAGAAAGTTAAAACTGTTATGACATTGAATAAAACCATATGTACATTTAAAATAAAATCTTGTAAGAGAAATTTTAGTTGATTAATTTTTTTCTTTTTTCTTTTCCTTTTCTAGTTGGGTATCCCTGGTCAGTAAGAATTATGAGATTGAACGGACTATTGTACAACTAGAAAATGAAATCTATCAAATTAAGCAGCAACAGGGAGAGGCAAACAAAGAAAATATCCGGCAAGACTTCTGAAAAGACCAACTTGCTGGGTACAGAGGAAGAAAAGTTGGGCTGTTATAAACATCAGCCATCTAAATTTTTCCTAAACCATGAAGGACAATAGCCTCTCATAAAAACCATTAGTGGGTAAATGTTTAAAAACCATAATGTATGGATCCTTACATTAATTGTGTATCTTTGTGAAATAAAGATTATCAACTTAGTGGTATTTTTATAGGTGTAAAAAACCATCAGGCTGTCTTGATTATGATTTGGAATATTATGTTATAGAATTAATACATAGATAGAGTTAATTTGGTGTTACTGGACCATATTTTTTAGCTGAGTAGATGTGTTGACTACAGCCAGCAAGGCCTTAGGGTTGGGGCTGCCCATGCCATTTAGAGCTTGTGTTGTGCCACCAGTTTGCTTAGATCCTAGACATATGGCCATAAGATTCAATGTTTGTTCTGAAGCATTTCAGTCTTGTTTTGTACACCTTTTCCTTTGTGTACCCCAATTCTTCCCTTTTGTATGGAATTGTGTAGCCTGTGTCATTGGTACTATTTTTGTTGTTTGTTTTAGTTTAGACATGGGATCTTCCTTGCTTGCCAGGCTAGGCTTGAACTGACAGTTGCCCTGTTTCTGCTCAGTAACTGGGATCAAAGATGTGTACCACCAAGCCTGGCTTACTTTTTTATTAAGTTATCTTACTGCTCCATGGGAGAATTCTTTCCACTACTCCTGCACTACTATCTAGTCTGCTCAGCGCAAGACCTATCTCCAGCTCTTCCCTAACTTAGATTGGACTTTAAAAATCTCTACCTTTGCCAAGTTCTGGTTCTCATTGAGATTGCTTCAGAGTCCTCTTGACTCTGTTGGGTTGCCAGGGATCCCTAGTAAAATATAATGACTTTACAAAGTTTGTTTATTCCCTTGGTGTAGGTGAGTTTTGTATGCTAGATTCAGGCTTTCCTTAGAAATCAGCTCTGGTAAATGACGTTACTAAGCCAGATAGTTCTGATTCTTTAGACTGAACATAGTTTTACGTTTGTCCCATTGATTGAAACATGACCTTTCTTATTTTTCAATTTTCTTTAAAATTTTTATTTTAGAGAATAAAACCAAGCAAAATAAAACAAAATAAAGCCAGTTAAAACAAGACAGCGTGACATAGGATTTCAAAACAAGATAATAGGAAATCAACAATGGTTACCGTAACGCCGCCTCTTCAAAATAACTGCCCATATCTTCAGACATAATAAAATCAAACAAAATAGAAACAGAATAGCACCAATAAAACAGTGTAATGTAAGACTTCAAAACAAGATAAGTCCAAAATGGTTACCATATTATATCTTACCATTTTCAAAACAGCTACCCATGTCATCTGATACAGTAAAATCAAACAATAAAACCCAACCAAACAAAACAATAAGCAATAGGGAGTTAATAATGGCCACCATCTTCAGAAGGAGATTCCCCCTTATGTGCTACATTGTGTATTGTTATCCTCTGAACAGATAACCAAGACTTCCCAAAGTCAGTGAAACAATGCTATAAGCGTTAAATTGTATTTACCTCATTTGCTGTCATCACAGCCTATGTTTCTCCAGATCAGCCAGTCACTGATGGGGTGGCAATGAGGGGAAAGAATTGGCTCTTGTCCCTCTACCTGTGTGCCAGAAGGGGCTGGCATCTGACTCTCCCCTAGTCAGCCTGTGCATGGTCTTAACTTCTTGACTGCTCACAGTCTTAGCTTCTTGACTGCTTTTTCTCCCCAACAGTCTGCAAATGGCTGGGCTTTCTCATTTGTAAATAAGTACCAGTATGTTATGTTTGAAGGTGAACCCAGCAAGGCTCAGGGAAAACAGGTTTAAATAACATTGGATGGAAATACTTTCTCTCACTCTATCCCCTGTCTTCATTTCTCTTTTATGCTCCAGTCATCCATTATTGCAGTATTTTAATACCCTTGTTCCTCTTTTTGTATGATTCAATCCTAAAGTCATGTGGTGCAGAGCAAAGTAGATATCCACATACAAGGTTCCAGGAAGTAGGGTGACTTCTGCATAAATAATCAAGAATAAATACTCTTGGGCTTCTCAACAGCTCTGGAAGTTAGAATGAAGACAATGAAGAGGTCCATGAAAATTCGTAAGAAAATTCCTTTCCAATTTAGGGCTACATAGCCAAGTCATCAGTTGAATGCAAGGGTAGAATAAAGATAAGTTTAACCACGTGAGATCTCAAAACTCGTTACCTTCTTGAGTATTGTTTCTCAAAGGAACAGCTGCAGGATGGAAGTAACCGTTCTTCCATGAGATTGGTGAAAGAGAATCTTGGGATTTGTATGGACTGTGTGTACTCCATGGAAGGCAACCAAATCAGCCTGGAACAGTGTGACAAAGATGACCACTGCCTTTGCACTGTCTCTTCACACAGAAATACTGAGAACCTGGTCCACATTCTGATCTACAGTTGGTTTGCTCTAATCATGTCTTGAGGCAGCCCCATAACCTGGAGTGTTCTATGGCCTATTCTTAGAGAACTTTTAGTAGAGAACTCACAGGAGTTACAGTTTCTGACCTTAGTCCCTGCCAAATACATGGTATTCAGCTGATACACCAGCCTTAACGGAAACCTGAACTGTTCTAAAGCCCTTGATTTCCAGCATACAGTCATAGCTTTGCCTTTTAACTTCCCCAGAAGAGGCTGTGTAACTGTCAGGGGAGCTGAAGCCACACCATGATTTAGTGTCCAGCTTGTTCAGTCCTCCTCACCTCACTCCAAGGAGACCTTCAACCATAGAAATGTCTTTTCTTATGTAGCTAAACTGATTCCTTCACAGGTTTTAAAATAATTCCATGTTATGTTCATTTTAAGGTAGATACGGTAGACTGAATACCAGCCCTTAAAGATGACAGGACCCAACACTTGAACCTGTGAGTGTGTTACTTTTTCTGTGGCCAAAAGGAGTTTGTAGATGTGATTAAATAAACACTTTTTGGGCCTAGGCTATATAGCTCAGTGGTATAAGTGCCTGCCTGGAAAGTGCAAGGTCCTGAGTTAGTTTTCTTTAAAAAAAAAAAAAAAAATGCTCGTTGGGTGGGCAGATTATCCTGGATTATATGGGTAGGCCAGCACCTTTATAAAAGAAAGATAGGAAGCCAGAGGAGGGGCAGTGCTATTTTGCTATATTTGTAAATGAAAAAAGCTGTGAACCAAGGAATGCAGTGACTTCCAAAACATGGGAAAAATGAGAAAACAAATCTGGAGTGTTCTTCCTCTAGGAGAAACAGCTTTGCAAGCGTGTGACTTCCTGTACTGTAAAGCACTACATTTTTTTGCATTCAGCTCTTTATTTGTGACATTTTGCTATAACATTATAGAAAACTAATGCAATAAAATTTGTAAATAATAATGTTTGATTAAAGCAGTACAAAATCTGCATTTTTAGGGGCAATTCAGAAAATGCAGGCAAAAAAAAAATTATATGATCGGGAGGGACTCTGGGAACATGGTGGACAGCTACGGAAGCTCTCTGAAAGACCCAGCTTAGGATTCAGGAATGGTACGCAGTAAGGAATCATAAGCAAGAGGAGACATGCCCTGCTGACCCAAGAACAAACTGGGCTGAGAGAAACCAACTGGGAACGCAATCCTGGTGCTGTAACAGGAACAGAAAAGCCTCAGTGTGGAAGCTGGAGCTCACACCATTGGAAGCTGTGATTTGGGTTTCCCGCTGCCACTGCTGCGTCTATATTGGCTCGGCAGGGAGAGAGACGCGCGAAAGCTCTGAGAATGGGAATCGGTGAGTGGAGTTGAAAGCAGAATGGGCGGGGAGCTGTACATTGACCTGCGGTGAGTGAGAGAAACTGGGACTCTTCCACGGTCTAGGAGACTCCAACAGAGGACATTCTGGAACCAGGCAGACTTGTGGGAACAGGGCGCTGCAGTGACTTCAGTCACGTATCCCCCTCTCAAGCAGGATTGGTGAGCAGTGCCTAGCCTACATGACGCTGCTGGCTGAGACCCAGTAGGCTAGCACAACCCAGGTCCCAGTGCCTGAAGGTAGATTGACCTGGAGGGGCGGGCCCAGCATAGGCTGCCTGTTCTGCAACTTCCTGGTGCGCTGTGGTGGGCGGGAACACCTAGCCAGTACAATTCAATCAGACTGTGGCCAACAGGGAAGGAAGCTGGGCCTCCTATATACGCTTGCATATATAAGGAACAAAGAATATGGGAAGAGGCAGCAACAAGAAAGGCTCCTTGGCCCCCAGTCCTGAGAAAGAGGCAATAGCAGACACAGCACCATTAGATATAAAGCGCTATCTCCAGAGCCTCATAGACAAGTTCAGGAATGAAATTATTAATGACCTGAACCTAGACATAAGCAGAATAGTTAGAGAAATGCTAAGCACCACCCAAGAAAAAACAGATGGTGGAATGGAAGAACAGAAAAAGAGGGGAGAATTGTTTAATGGAGAAAATAGAGAAAGCATAGAATACGTGAAGCAGGTTCAAAGAGATTACCAGGAAACTAAAAACTCTATCGAAAACTGGCATAACAGCTTAAAAGAAACTAAGCACAGATTATCTGAACTGGAGGGCAGATTTGTAATATGGGAGAATGAAATGAAAAACTTCTTAAAAATAACAAAGAAACAAACAGCAATAATACAAAGACTAGAAGATGATAAGAGGATCTGTAACTTAAGAATTAAGAACATAAAAGAAGTAGGGACACAAACAAATGAACTACAAAAGCTACTCACAGAAATAATCCAGGAGAATTTCCTAATTTAGCAAAAGGTAAAGATAGTGTATGAAGCATACAGGACCCCTGCCACCTACAACCCAAACAGAGCAACACCCAGGCATATAATAATTAAAATTCCAGAAATCCAATACAAGAACAGAATATTAAAAGCTGTCAGAGATAAGAAACAGATCATTTACAAGGGAACAACCCATCAGAATTACAGCAGACTTCTTGGCACAAACCATCAAATCACGAAGAGCGTGGGGGGAAATAATTCAAGCTTTGAAAGATAATAATCTCCAGCCAAGTTTGATATATCCTGCACAACTATCCCTGGAAATTGATGGAAAAACAAGGTGCATCCAGGATAAAGAGGAACTAGGGGAATATGCAACCACCAATTCAACTTTACAGAGAATACTGCAGGATATTCTAAAAAAGAAAAATACAAAGAATCTAGAAAT